TGTTGGTTGGTTAGTTTTACGTTAGGGATGATAGTTATCCCCTTTTACTGATGTCAACCAACAAGTTCGTTGGGGATGGAAAAAAATAAAGAGTTAATACGCATCATACACATTCTTCACTAAGCTTTTTGATTGTATTTATTGTTTTTAATGATATCAACCCAAGTATCATAATCATTTCATCTAGCATGAATTCAGCTTACTTTGGAAGCCCCAGCTATTACATATTCAATTTGTTTGTATATATCGTTTTATGTTTGTATCAATTTAATATTTTGCATAAATTTTCTGTGCTAGGGAGAGGAGCATGGCAATGACAAGGAGGTTGGGCAGAGAAAAGGGCGTAATAAAGGCCGTGGCAAGGGGCGTGGGCGAGGTCAATACCATCATAATAACCATCAGAACCATCATAATAATAATCGTGGAAATCATGCGGGGCATCCTCCTAACAGTTCAGTTGGGAGTATGGAGCATGCAGGTGTAACGAAGCAGCCTCCTGGGCCGCGTATGCCTGACGGCACAAGGGGATTTGCAATGGGTCGGGGGAAGCCAGTTACTGTTAATATCGCCTAAGGATTAAGGACTGGGGGGAACCTGAGTTTTTTCTTTGGTATCTCTGTGGCTGAAGAGAACATGTTGGGGGGTGGGAAGGGAAACTATGCCTCTTATGGTGTGGGTGGTGTTTGATGGCAAAGGTTTTTATAAGGGCTGTCAATCCATATTGTACCGAGTTTAGGGTAATTAAGGGTCAACCTTTCATTAGATGTTGATAACATTTACCGTTTGTGTTTGTGTCCTGAGTTAAAGTTAAGGGACAAGTTACAAATTTGATTGTGTCACGTATTATATTTTAGTATTTTAAAAGAAAACCTTCTTTTTTTTTTTGGATAAATACTACGGTAAAGTAATATTTCTCTTTATTTGTAAGTAAGGGGTCTTAAGTTCGATTTTCGTCAAAGGGGAATTTGAACCACATTAATGCTAGTCCATTGTGAGGTTAAGATAATATTTTTTGTTAAAAACTTTTTACATTTGATTGTATAAATGATCAATGTTTATTATATCGTCGTTATATCATTGTTGCGTGTTGTTATGTCATCTTTAAGTCATCAATATATTATTAATATATCATTGTTAATAAAAACTGATCATTTAATTGATCATTCATGGTAAATTTTGTGTCTTTTGAGATCTTACGGGAGTTTGGATCAGAGTACATAATTAAGAAAAATGGAGTGGAGAGCACTGATAAAGGTGAATTTTATTTATTTATTTATTTTTTTGTCAGCCACTGATGAAAGTGAATGGGCATCTACATTTCCGCCTAAATGAACCACACAAACACACTTGATACACAGACGCAGCGGCGGAGGACTGGAGGATACAGTCTCGCGAGTCTCGTCCATCTTCACGCACGCGCCCACTCTCTCTTTCTCTGTCTTTTAGATTCAGGGGAGCCTGGAGTCATAGGAGCGAATCAGTAATGGCAGAGTCAATCACACCCATCCTTCCTAACAATCCTAACCCTAATTACCAGGGCCCCGCAACTGGAACTGTTCCTCCTTCTCCTCCACCTTCATTGCCACTAGCTGGATCACCACCGCCGCCGCCCCCGCCAGCCGCAGCTTCGAGGACTCCCGTCGTATTCAGCTTCCCCAAGAGGCCTTCGGTTCGACTCACTTCCGAGTTCGACAGCGACTCCTCCGTCTTCTTCCACAAGGTCTCTTGCAAGCTGCTCGACAGCCTCGCCAAGCTGAAGCTCTCCTTCAGCAACAACCACAAGGGCGAACTCTCTCCGCCGCAGTTGACATTTGTCTCCAAGAACCTCTCCGTTCACCACAACTTCGAAGATCAATCTACCCTCCTCAACGGTTCCGTCGATGTTGGCCAGAGATTGCATCTCCGTGCTACCCATGATCTCCAGGTTACCTCCTTAATCCCTTTTTTTTTTCCAATGTAATTTTGTTATGTAATTGATGAGACCATCCCACATTCACTCTTAGGGGTGTAAGCATTACTAAAAACATTACAATCTAACACCAATTTTAACTAGATTTAGCTTTTCATAACTACAGTCCTCCGTCCAATCTTAGGTAATTATTAGCATCTTCGTGTCCCTGTTTATTTCCGCAAAGCTTATCGGCGTGAACAAGTTGACTCATTCTTCTCTCATGTCTAAATGTCATGATGTTCTTAGGCACAAGAAGGAGAGGCTACCGTGGTCGCGAAGCTTGCTGACCCTGGCTATGCACTTGAGCTCTCTTCTCCTGTTCCTTATGTTGGTTTGGTAAGTACATCACATGATATCTGCAGTATAATGATGTTAGGACAGCCTTGTTTTGAATTGTCATCTACCGTTCCATTTAAATAACTCTAACAAGGCGCAAACAAGACCATTATCTTGGAATTCTACTGCTGCGACGAGCCAGTAGTGTTTCAAACTTGTTTCTGTTGTCGCACATTGATCTGTTTTAGCTTTTAAGACAGATTTAGCATTCATGAATTGGATTGTTGAATTACAACACTCTGGCATATTTCCATAATCATCATTTGGATTTCGGAGTTGGTGTTTTTCTTCTTTGATGTATACTTCACAACATACTTTGTGTTGTACTCTCATTTTATTGAATGCTTTGTTTCTTTTCCCAAAAAATTGTCCTTTTATGACATCGTGCTGCCTTACAATTTACCAAACAGAAAATAATTTATTAGTTTCCTGTTACTTCTCCACTCCATAATTGTTACTGGCACTCCAAAAATCTAACTGTGTACTCTGAACTTTATATAATTAGAACAAAAAATTTATTACCTTAATCATTATTCTGATGCTGCAGCCGAAAGCTACCCTAAAGTTCCCCCTTGGTGAAGTTTCTGTCGAGGAGAAAGAAGAAGAGGAGAAGCAGAGAATGTTATCAATTAATGGAATAGTAAAAGGCCATATTTTGAACGGGTTGTGCACTGCTCATTATGCAGATGAAGATTTGAAGTTGCGGTATTTATACAAGGTAAGCATTTCATTACTCTCAGTTACTTTTTTGGGTGCTTTTCAATTGCACAGGATGGATAGCTGGGTCCCCATCAAGGAAAACGGAAAAAGGAGGGATGGCTGGGTTGTGTGAATGGTGCAGCCCAGAAGATTTTTTGCAAAAATATTCAGTCTCCTAATAACTGGACGAATGCTTTTCCATCATATTGGTGTTTCGTCTCTGTGATATTTTCTGATAGCTTTGGACTTATTACAGGACGAGGAGATGTCTTTGATTCCAACCCTTCGTCTGCCTTCGAATGCATTGTCATTTGCTTTCAAGCGTCGGTTTGGTCCTTCTGACAAGTTGAGGTTAGAAATCTTTCCTTTTCCTTCCATCTATTCTTAATTTTTTAATTGCTTTGTTTCTTTTTTTGTTTTGTTTGTTGGATTCAGATGTAAACATAGAACTATTTACATGAAACAAATAAGGTGCTTTGTATTTGGTGCTTTAAAAATCCACTCATGTTGAGTTGGCCAATTACCATATCATGTTTCATGGTGTGACTGTCATCTGCTTAGTATGATCAATTTATGCATAGAATTTGTGAAATTGTAAAGTGAATCTTGTCTTCAATATTTTTCTTTGTAAGTCTCCAATAGTTAATTGGTGTAGCAAAAATTATTCTTGAATTGTGTCCTTCAAGAATTTGAGCATAAGGAAGGGAGAAATGGATGATTATAGTTAAGTTGCATTGAATATTACTTTTCAAAATAATTTGACCATGCAAGTATTCTGTTTAAGGTTGTTCTTCAAGCAGTCATGTATCTGCACATTTTGTCTCCAGTCATCTATTTGTTGACGGTTCTAAGAGTTTTATACTTATTTTGATGATTTCATCCCCAGCTACTGGTACAATTTTGATTCCAACTACTGGAGCGCGGTATACAAGCACACATACGGCAAGGATTTGAAACTTAAAGCTGGTTACGATTCAGAGGTGCACCTTGGCTGGGCATCTCTTTGGGTAAGTGCTTATATGAATCGAGTTTTCTAGAAGCCATATGAAAAGGGAGAATCTCATGAATAATCAAGGAAACCAAGTAGATTATTTCAGGACAACAAGAAATGCCTTTTTTAGTTTTCTTCCATTGTTGCACTTGAAAAGGGAGTTTGGCAGGAAACCCTTAGGATATAGATAGTAATATACATGGAAACTATTAATGACACATAATAAGTTAAATGGTAAGAAAACTTTATGTCAATGAAGATTTCTTTCAAGTGTTGATCGCATGGTAAAATTGTTTCAAAACTTAGGTTTACGAAGTAAGTGCCTCATGTGTTGAGTGCACCTAAGCTGTCAAACTGTTTGCTATGAAGAAATGATGGGAAACATGATTATGGTTGTTTCAGGTTGGAGATGAAGGTGGGAAAGCAAAGACAGCCCCGATGAAGATGAAAGTTCAATTCATGCTTCAAGTGCCGCAAGATGACATTCGATCATCGGCTTTGATGTTCCGGGTTAAAAAGAGATGGGACATATAATAGTCATTTCTGGTTATGGGATGATACGGTGTAGTGCCCTTTAATGAATATTCAACTGCAACTCCGGTGGTTCGATATCATATGAATATGATAGTGTAGTTTTGATACACAGAATGTGCTAATCGAATGACATGCTTATTGCTGTAATTGCATTAGTTGATTTGTATTTACCAGTTGAAATAATACTTTGATAGTCAGCAGTTGATTTGTATTTACCAGTTGAAATAATACTTGATAGTCGGAATGTGCTAATCGAATGATATCATTTTTACTTCTCATACACCTTTTGTTAATTTATATCCGTTGATCTTCTTCAATTCATCAAATTCGACGGTCGAAAATTAAAAGGGTGTGAGAAGTAAAAATGAGTGTGGATATCACATTCTATTAAGATAATAACAAAAGTTGAAAAGCCAAAAAGCGAATGAAAAGAGAAAAAGAGCAAACGAAAGCTTTACTGACAAAATTCTGTTCCATTTCACAATTTCCAATTTTCTGTATATATATAAATAATCAAATAAAACAGATATCAAATGTGGGTGCTCGCTCTTGTTTGATTTGTCCTTTTTGTTTTTGGGTTTCCAAATTCCAAGTGGAGGAGGATATTAAAAGAGGAGGAATGTGAAAAGCGCAGAAAGATAAAGAAGCAGCTCCCCCCACCCCCCACCAAGCAAAAGCGCAAAAGCTGAAAGAAAGCGCCTTTGAGGAGGAATGGCAACACCCTTGCATTTGAGGCTCTTCCAGCCTCTCAACTCCATTACTCCCTATCCTTCTTCTTCAGACTTCCGCTTCAAATCCTTTCACTCTGCAAGCCCTAATTTCAATCTTTCTTCTCTCTCATCTCACAACCACTCATGTGCTCGACAAAGGACAACCACTCGCTCCGAACGGAAGGTATCTTTCTCTCTCTCTCTCTCTCTCTCTGCATATTTATACGTTCGTTTTCAAATCATCAGCTTTTTTTGGTAATTCTGAGATATTGGGTCTTGTTTGTTTGTGATGAAAAGAGAGAGTATTTTTTGGGCTTACAAATCCTTATCCTCATTTTCTGGAATGAGCTGGCTATAATGAGATGCTTCTGTTCCGTCATATAGATATAGTGATCCAAATTTTCCTTCAAAGTTGGGTCTTGTTTGTATTAGTGCTTCGCGGGTCTCTTTGTTATCTCAAGAGGCTGCAACTCTATAGTTTCGAGCTCCATTTGCCTTAAACCGGTTTCAATCCTGTAAAAGCATGTGATTTTGACTTGTATGATTACCACTCTTCGTGGGCAGTTGGTTTTCACTAATGATTTACTACCAGGGGTCTGTTTTTCTTTACTCGTATAGTGGCTTTGCGGACACTTGAGAAGAGATCAAGACATAGATAGTCGATCCAATGAAGACGCCACTGGTGCGCGTATGTTTGGTTCCGATGAGGAAGTAGGCACCCAAATCCCAACACAGGCTCAATCTGTTGTCGAAGGATCAGGGGCAGTTATGGTTTCAGAGTTCAGACCAGTGGCCGATGTGGATTATCTACAGGTGCGTGATTATTCTTCAGTTTGGCTTCTTTCCATTTTGTTGACTCAATGCATATAAATGTAAACCGTTTCCATGAGGATTGACATACAAAAACCTAATTCCAATCACCCAGTTTTTTTTAAAACCATATGTTTACAGGACTCTTAAGTAGCCTATCTCTTGCAGGCCGTGCATGCTTTGTCTTTAAGTGTTTCTTTATTGCAACTTGAAAGCACTCTTCCTATATTATGCAACATTATCTGCAGGAGTTATTAGCCATTCAGCAACAAGGACCCAGAGCAATTGGTTTCTTTGGGACCCGGAATATGGGATTCATGCATCAAGAACTTATTGAGATTCTCAGCTATGCAATGGTTATCACTGTAAGAACTGTAAATGAATGAAATTATATATCTGGCAATTATGAGTATGTATGAAGCTATCAGATGTTCGACAATACTGGACCTTTTCAGTTTATGTTGAATCTGAAGGGATCAGTGACCTTGACCTGTGTGTTCCTTAACCTCATGTTTGCAGAAAAATCACATTTATACATCAGGGGCATCAGGCACTAATGCAGCTGTAATCAGGGGTGCTTTAAGAGCTGAGAAACCAGAGCTGCTTACCGTAATCTTGCCCCAGAGTCTGAAGAAGCAACCACCTGAGAGCCAGGAATTATTGTCAAAAGTAAGAATTTCTTAAAATGACATTCCTTAAATTTTACGCTTCATCTATTTTGGTTTTTACTAGATTTTCTCATGGTATTCACATAATTGCAGATGTCAATTGCTTATTGTCTCATAGTTGACTCTTAGATTTTTGCTCCTCTTTGCGCTTCATCTTTTTGCTTATTGTCTCTAACCACAATGGAAGGTGCTTTTGTAGTTCTATGCACTACAACCTTGCCCTCTGCGTTGCTCTTGGTTATCTATCGAAGACGAAAAACTCATATAAGACCTTTCTGTTTTTCATCTTTCATTTACTCAAGAAAGATTTTCATCCATCTGCCTACGCACTCAAAATTTTCATCCATTTAAATTTGTTTGGGTATGGTTTCATTGCAGTCATTTCCTTGTTAAAGAACATTTAGGAAAGCATCTAGTATATAGCTTTTCACCGTTGAATGAGGTGATATGTATGATTGAAGATCTCTCCAGTAAATTGCCCTTTCTATTGTATTTAATTTGACAGCTAGGTATTACCGTATTAGGATGAAATTGGGTGTGCTATTTCTCAATATTCTTATGTTAGGAATTTAGGACTACTGTTCCTGCAATTTATTACTATTGGCATTACAAGAGTAGATCTGCAGTACAATGCCCCAGAAAATGAAATTGACTTGGCGGCTATTAATTATTTGAGTAAATTGTAGCTATGGTCCCTTAACTTTAACTCAATTGGAGCAATGGTCCCTCAACTAAAAATCCATTACCTTTGGTCCCTCAACTTATCAAAACGTGTAGCTATGGTCCCTCAACTAAAAATCCATTACCATTGGTCCCTGAACTTTAATTCAAGTGGAGAAATGGTCCTTTAACTTTAATCTAATTGTAGCAATGGTCCTTACAATATAACTCGTTTTGACAAATTTTTTGACATAGTTGACGAAAAGAACCATAATTATACACTTTGATGAGTTGAGGGACCCTAATTATATAAATGGTCATTCCAACATAGCTTATTTTGACAAAATTTTGACAAAATTGATGAAAAGGACTATAGCTACACATTTTGATAAGTTGAGGGACCAATGGTAATGGATTTTTAGTTGAGGGACCATTGCTCCAATTTGATTAAAGTTGAGGGACCATTTGTACAATTTACTCTAATTATTTAGAAAGTGATTGGGTACATATAACCTTGAACAAAATTTAATGGATTCCCAGTGCTGCAGTCTTTCTAGTTGTTATTTCAGTAATATGTTTAGTAATGATACCTTGTTTCCCACCACCCGACTAAGGAAATGCAATGTTGTTATTGTAATTGATAATTTCTTGGGATTTTCAGGTCAAGAATGTGATAGAAAAGCCTCAAAATGATCATCTACCACTGATAGAAGCGAGCAGGTTGATAGTAGTTCCACTTTTTACGTTCAGCGTAGCTTTCATGATGTTATACGATTGGCAGATATCATTTCTATTGGAGTGAATTTGTTTTCATGACTTGATGCTGAACCTGTAGGTTGTGCAACATGAACATCATTTCACATGTACAGCAAGTTATATGCTTTGCGTTTCACGACAGTAGATTGCTAATGGAAACTTGTCAAGAGGCCAAAAATCTCCGCAAAATTGTGACTCTCTTCTACCTGGATTGAACAACCACTTCCCCTGTTCATGATGTCCATACATTTTGAGTGAGAGAGAGGGAGTGAGAGCGCCTTATATTTTTGTTTGTATAAAATTAGATGGAAGCGACCGAACCACATGCCTTTGTAGAATGAAATAGTGAGGGAGTTAATTATTGTTCATTCCTTGGAAGAGGTGTATTCTGTTTAGTATATATATTTTTTTGGGTAAATTACACAAAACTACTCAATTATGAGTTTGAATCATAATCTCATACCCTATGTTTTAAACATTGCAATGTCATATCTCAATTTATAAATTTGTTGCAATGTTAGTTAGACTTTCGTTAATTAATCTGTTACATTTACCGTTAAGTGATGATGTGGTAAATATATGATTCATATTTTTCTGATGTGGAAAACCATGTGGATAAAAAATTACAACTAAAAATAAATTAATTAAAAAATAATTAAAGAGGAGTGGGCCCACCCCAACACCTCACCCTTCTTCCCCTCCGTACGCTCTCCCTTCCTCCTTTTTCACGCTGCAACAGCAGGCCAGGTGCAGCCCTTCGGCAACCACGGCGACGGCGCCGCTTTATTCAACCACCAACAACTCCAAACTAATATTCTTAGAATCCTCTCTTCATATCAAGTCCAAATCTCTATCTTATTACATCAAATTCGAAGTTGACAGGTTTGAATTTCAGATTTAGGTCGCGAAGGTTCTTGGGTTTTCCGGTGGATTTGCTGGGGTTAAAGGTGGTCAATATCTCTGTTTTTATGGGGCTTGTGGGATTTGATGACTATCCAAGTGAGAAAATAGGGTTGCTATTGTAATGAACCCAAATTCTTACTGAGGTTTTATGCTTTATTACTGTTAGGAATTGTTAGCATTTAAAAGTGTAGAGGCTATATAAAAGGAGCTCCTTTTATTAAAAAATAATTAAATGCTAACAATTCCTTAAATTGTAATTGAATCTCAGTTTCCTTGAATTGTAATTGAAGTATAGAGGCTTTTATTATGTCTTGAAAATTCATGGTGGATATTTCAAAAATGTCTTGATCGACAGAACTTTGTTATGGCTAATGGCTGTTTTTCGGTCCCACAAATTTTTTGTGTTGATTTATCAGTTCCAAAACTAAAACATCAAGTGAAAAGCAGAGTAAAAGAAAATCAGGATTTACAAATGTTAAAAGCAAATCATGAAATATGTTCTCTAATATTTTTGGAGCTCTCCAACTCCTAAGTCCAAGTTCAAGTTAGGATCACACTGCAATGACAGCATCCCCTTGCTTTAGATTCGATGGTCTTCTGCCCCTCCCTCAGCCACGACTAAAACACAATATTATCGAGGCCTCAGAAAAATATAAATTTGAGTACCTGTTTGAAAAGCAAGATACACTGTTATACCTGGAGGGAGAGTTTAAATAAGCGATCAGGAGGAGAAGGATAGAGTGAACCTTGGAGATGTTATCAATCATTTTCATCAGAGAAGTTGCCATCACTCTTTTGCTCATAATTCTGGTATTCTTCGTCGCTTGTATATGCTGCTGCTGCTGCTGCATCTTGTTGTATTCTATCACTCCCTGCTTCAGAAGAGGGAAAACTACCAAACAGCCCCTGCAAATGGGTTCTTGAGATGTTCTCCATGTTCATATCTAACAAACATATAGGAAAGCCACAAGTATTGGCATAACTTTTAAACATTTGTCAAGATAGTTGAGGTTCCAACATAAAATCAATTGGCAATATGAGGAGGTAACCCATTCTCTTATAAGAACATAGGACTCTCCTCTCATCAATGTGAGATTCATTCTCAATAAGCCTCTCACGTGTGTAGCGAATTTTTGGACAACACAACTCAGGTGACGTGAAGCGCGTGTGGGACAACCTTCCACCATAAAATCAATTGACAATATGGAGAGTACGCCAACCTGTTATAAGTACATGCAAAGTCCCTACTCATTAATATAGTATTCATTCTCAACAATTTGAATAACGCCAATCGTTAGTTTGTTAGAATATTCTCCCATTTTTTCTCAACACTCCTATTAATAAGGGAACAGCATTGCCAAAACAAGATCACGTGCTTACTGCTTAGTGAATCGATGTTCAATTGACGTCCATTGCTAATTCGCTGTATTGCTTCAGAAGATGGAAAAAAAGTCCGAGAAAAAATATCACTTTTGGTTTCAAATCACGCCAACTTGTGGGTAGATGGGTTTAAATTTTGAGATTGTGAAACACAAACTGAATACTGAACCGATATGTTTCGGGACAGGATTCCGAAAACCGAAACAATAATATTCCTAAATTTCGGCATTCCTGAAAAAAATTCTGTATTTCGGTACGGTTCAGGAGCCCGATTCAAAATCCCTAATTCTAAGACCCTATTCAAAATCCCTAATTCCAAAAACCCTAATTCAGAAACCCAAATTCAAAATCCCTAATCGAATTTGTGGTCAAACAATCTGTATGAACTTTGGTCGAGTTTATTGCAGAAATTTCTTACCTTGTGTAGTGAGGAGGAGTGCAGACTGAGACTGAGAGCTCGATTCAGAAGCCGGATTCGGGTGGTATGGACAGTGGGGTGAAGTCACGATTCAGGTAATGGATTCACGAGTAGGGATTGAGGACTGAGGAATGAGGACTGGTGTGACTAGATTCGGGATTCAAGCGACGGATTTGGGTGATGTTACTTATGTGGAAGTACTGAGGGCGGAGGAGACACGTCGAGAGAAAGAGACAGTGAGAGTGAGAGTGAGAGTGAGGCGAGAACTAGAAAGTAACGTACGTTTCGAAAGTGCTTGCGTTATTTCCTTCAAACTAAAAAATGAAGGTTTGGGTTTGAAACTCGTTGCTGGTGTGAAAGCCAAACTTGTGGTTAGGAGAGGCTGAAATGCCTCTATGAATCTTTTTGATCCCTGAAAGAAATAAATAACCGTAACTTACCATTAATTATCTATATTAAAAAAAAAAAAAAAAAAAAAAAAAGTGTTTGCGTTATGTAACGTAAGGCCCCACTCGCTCTTTTCTCTTGGCCTTCCAATCAATCATCCAACCTTTTGTTCGAAAAAATAAAATAAAAAATAATTCAATCATCCAACCAACCGACGTGCTCCCATCTCGGATCCCCTTCCCGGAGTTCCCTCTCATCCCTCCCCTTGCAAATTTAGAGTTAGACCCTTTCTTCTTTCTCTCTCCTCTTTTCTCTTCTGGTTTTGTTCCTCTCTTTCTTTCTATTCTGATGGAATTTTTTACAATTTTCATGTTGATATTCATTTGGTTTAAAGTATATAGATAAACACTCGATGTTGTTCCTTTGGATTATTAACTAGGATCTTCATATATATGTGTGTGTATATATATACACACATATATATATATATATATATATTATTCATCAACCCAAACATTTGAAACATCCCTTAATTAATTGCTTAGTACTATGGAGGACAGAAGTGAAGACGACGACAGGGACGCATTGGCGGGGCTAAGCAACGCCCCTCCACCCCGCAAGTCACATTCATTAAGCCAGCAGCTCCGTGCAACCTCCGCCCAAAAACGCCACCACCAATTACGAAAGCATAGCCTCGACGACGTCAGCGTCTTCCCCAAGAGCGTTCATAACAATAATAATGTCGACTACTACGACTCTTCTGACGACGATTTCTTTCCTTACTCCACCTCTAACAGCACCATCACCACGACAACCACTAGTAATGCTGTTGGCGTTGGTGATCACGACGTGTACGTGGGCACCACTCACTCCCAGAGGCTGGACCAAAGCCTCTGCATGGAGGCTGGTGATGATCCTGATGGCAACAGGGAATGCCAGCCGTTGGCCGAATTTATTGGCAGCGGCGGTGGCACTGGCATCTTCAAGGTTCCAACTCGCGCATCCGTCCATCCTGGTCGTCCCCCCTGCTTGGAGCTGAGACCCCACCCTCTCAGGGAGACCCAGGTCGGCAGGTTCCTCAGGACCATTGCCTGCACCAACACCCAGCTGTGGGCTGGCCAGGAGGGCGGAGTCAGGGTCTGGAATTTGAAGGGCGTCTTTGAACCTGGTTTTGGTATTGGTGGCAGGGTCATGAGGGGTGATGAGGATGCCGCCCCATACTATGAATCCGCCAACACCTCTCCCACCCATTGCCTCATGGTTGATACCGGCAATCGCTTGATTTGGACTGGCCATAAGGATGGTAAGATCAGGTCTTGGAAGATGGATCAGTCTTTGGATGCTTCTACTCCTTTTAAGGAAGGTCTGTCCTGGCAGGCCCACCGCGCTCCTGTTCTCGCATTGGTTTTCACTGCTTACGGTCAGTCACTCATTTGTTCCTCTTCATCACGTGCTTCTGTTTGCTTGGTTTTTTACTTTCCAGTGTAAATGTTAATCTATCTGATATCATGTTGCTTTGATTTGATGCAGGTGATATGTGGTCAGGTTCTGAGGGTGGTGTTATTAAAATCTGGCCATGGGAAACCATAGAAAAATCTCTCTCTCTAAAACCAGAGGAAAGGCATATGGCAGCTTTACTGGTGGAGAGGTCAGGCATTGACCTGAGGAGCCAAGTTACTGTGAATGGCGTCTGTAGTATATCTTCTCAAGATGTCAAGTGTTTGCTATCTGATGATTTTAGAGCTAAAGTTTGGTGTAGCGGATCTATGTCCTTCTCCTTGTGGTTAGTTTTCAATTTGAAACCTAGTGTTAGCAGGGAGTGTGTGCGTTTTGCTACATGTTTTACATGGTGAAAACTTTTATCTTATGCACAATTCATGTTTTTCTAAATGGGATTTCGATCAAGAAAGAGAAAAGGAAATCGTTGCTTAGATAGAGATCCTAATACATATAATTTTGTCAGGGATGCTCGTACAAGAGAGCTTGTGAAAGTCTTTAATGTAGAAGGTCAGATGGAGAATCGAGTTGACATGTCAGCAGTGCAGCAAGATCAAGCAGTAGAAGATGAGATGAAGGTAAAATTTGTTTCAACATCGAAAAAGGAGAAATCCGGGGGCTTTTTACAACGGTCGCGTAATGCTATAATGGGAGCTGCAGATGCTGTTCGTCGGGTTGCAACAAGAGGGGCAGGGGCATTTGTAGAAGAATCCAAGAAGACAGAAGCGTTAGTGCTAACTGCGGATGGCATGATATGGAGTGGATGCACAAATGGTTTACTGGTTCAGTGGGATGGAAATGGTAACCGTGTGCAAGATTTTAATCACCATTCTTCTGGTGTCCAATGCTTTTGCACTCTCGGAACACGAATATATGTAGGCTATGTGAGTGGCATGATTCAGGTGTTGGATCTTGAGGGAAATCTGATTGCAGGATGGGTTGCACACAGTAGTCCAGTGATAAAACTGGCGGTTGGAACTGGTTTTGTTTATAGCTTGGCCACCCATGGTGGTATTCGCGGATGGAACATCAAATCTCCAGGACCTACTGACAACTTGATACGTACAGAATTGGCTGCAAAAGAAAGTGTATATACCAAAAGTGACAATGTTAGAATTTTAGTTGGCACATGGAATGTTGGTCAAGGAAGAGCATCTCAGGATGCACTAATATCATGGTTAGGCTCTGCTGTGCCGGATGTTGGCATTGTAGTTGTCGGGTTGCAAGAAGTAGAAATGGGCGCAGGCTTTCTTGCAATGTCTGCAGCAAAAGAAACTGTAAGATCCTTCATTGATGTTGTGAACTGCTTATTTGGTTACTTTAACAGATACAAAATCTCTACTCGTGCGTATGGATTGATTTATTTATTTACCATTCTTTTCCCTTTGTAGGTAGGGCTTGAAGGGAGTTCTGTTGGTAACTGGTGGCTTGATAACATAGGAAAGGCCTTAGAAGAAGGAAAAACTTTTGAACGTATGGGTTCTAGGCAGCTCGCAGGCTTGCTCATATCTCTTTGGTAAGCAATTACCATCGAAATTGATTTCAGGAATTACCTATCACCAAATATAATTAGCCTGCAGTTCATATTTCTTTCCTTTTATCAGTGAGGCATCTTAACCCTACTCTGTTAAATTATCCTTGTGGAGTTTGTCCTCATATATTTATTTCCTTTTATGAGCTCATAATTCTCATATAGGGTAAGAAAGAATCTCAGAAAACATGTCGGGGATATTGATGCTGGAGCAGTTCCCTGTGGATTTGGTCGTGCCATTGGTAATAAGGTTGGTACCTCTCCATTCACAGTGCTCATTTGGCATGTATACAAGTTGGGAGTTGGTACCTTTTTGTTTACAGAATAAAATAGAATGCAGTCAGTTTGATTGTCTCTGCTCAATTTCTTAAATGTATCGCTTTCTTATTCTTATGAAAAAAGGATCACTGACCAGACTACTTATGTTCAAGCAGGGGGGTGTTGGTCTGAGAATCCGAGTCTATGATCGGATAATGTGCTTTGTGAACTGTCATTTGGCTGCACATTTGGAAGCTGTCAGTCGCCGTAATGCTGATTTTGATCACATTTATCGTAATATGGTCTTCACCCGGTCGTCTCTACTTAACACAGCAGCTGGTATGCTACCATACCTGTTTTTGTCTTGCTCCCTTGCCTTCTCTGCCTATTTATTTTGGCTGCTTTATTCTTCTGGCTTGCCATGGGTCCTCTCTCTTGCAGCTGGTGTCTCAACTTCTGTTAACATGGCTCGGGCTCCAAATGTATGTACTTGTTCTAGTTCGTATTGCTGAAATCAATCCTTTATTTATAATTTTTAATGTAATTAGCTAAGTGTTAGGCCATTGATGATTTAGGCTGTCAGTAGCAACACTGAAGATGTAAGGCCCGAATTAGCAGAAGCAGATATGGTTGTTTTTCTCGGTGATTTCAATTATCGGCTTTTTGGCATATCTTATGATGAAGCAAGGGACTTCGTTTCGCAAAGATGCTTTGATTGGCTCAGAGAAAAAGATCAGCTCAGAGCAGAGATGAAAGCCGGGAAAGTTTTCCAAGGGATGCGTGAGGCACTCATCAGATTCCCTCCAACATACAAGTTTGAAAAGCACCAAGCAGGTTTAGCAGGTATTTGGTCTAGTAACAGTCAATTTCTGCATTACTATCAAAGCTCTTGGTTTCTCTTACACGAGTAAATTATGCATATCTGCAAAAATGAATTAGAAACAACATGGTTTTCGGGTGTTCTAATTTGAAACTTTGTCTGTGCATCCTTTTCAGGATATGATTCTGGTGAGAAGAAACGTATTCCTGCATGGTGTGATAGAATAATATATCGTGACAATCGGCCATCACCAGTTGCTGAGTGCAGTTTAGAGTGCCCTGTAGTCTCGTCAATTATACAGTACGTTCTTCTGGGATTGTAACCTATTGTCTCTTCTTCTTCATTGTTCTAAAACTTGGTGCCCAATTTTAAATAGGTATGAGGCATGCATGGATGTGACTGACAGTGATCACAAACCTGTCCGGTGTAAACTAAGTTTACAAATTGCGCACGTTGATAGATCAGTAAGGAGAAAGGAGTTTGGGGAAATTATAAAGTCCAATCAGAATATCAGGTCTATGCTTGAAGAATCAAATTATGTTCCAGAAACTATTTTGAACACCAACAACATAATCCTTCAAAATCAGGACACGTCCATTTTGCGTATCACTAATACATGTGTAAAGGATACGGCCGTATTTAAAATCATCTGTGAAGGTCAGTCCACCGTCAAGGAGGATGAGGAAGAGCCTGACTATCGCCCGAGAGGTGCCCATGGGTTTCCTCGATGGCTTGAGGTATCACTTTCTCCCTGCTGCTTCTGTTATGTCCTATAAATTTTCTTTTCCTTTTTGGAGTGGAAAATGCAGGTGTCTATTCTTCTAATATACTTCTTTTGCTTTTTAAAACACAAAATAATAGATCACACCAGCAGCGGGCATGATCAAACCTGAGGAGTGTGTGGAGGTCTCAGTTCATCATGAAGAGTTTCATACCTTGGAAGAATTTGTTGATGGCATCCCTCAAAATTGGTGGTGCGAAGACACCCGCGACAAGGAAGTGATTTTAATGTTGAGTGTCCAAGGTAGTTGCTCAGCTCAAACATATAGTCACAGAGTTCGTGTACGGCATTGCTTCTCAGCCAAGACAGTCCGCATGGACTCAAAATCCAACAGCTCTAGGAGAGGCCAGGGAAGTCCAGTTCACAGGTCTGAAGTTCGGCAACTTAACATACCAAGCCAAATCAACTTGAAATAATTCTTAAAACTAAACTAGTATCAAATACTGGATAGCATGAAGCAGTTTATAGACACATGGATAATCGCCTGGTAAGAGTGAAGACGGACTTGATGTTATTACCAAGTGCCTTTGTTTTTTCAGTTAGAACTCTAGTCTAGAACAAAAGTTGGTGTAAATACTCTGTGAACCTGTTTATGACTTTAAAGATAGTTTAGCATCATGTCCTCTCTTCATTATCAAATTCATTTTTACATTGGTAAGTTGGTATATGGAAGGCGGTAAAAATGGAAATGTATGCCCACTGTTGGCTTCTAACTAAAACCATGATTACAATTTGCAAATCACTGTTGACTAGTTTTATTTCCGAGTAATGGCTCAATATTTCACATTAGATTAATCAAATATCGTATCACTGTATAGAAAATAAGTCCGAATGTGATCTACCTTTTCTCTGCATTATCCTCTGTTTTCTCAGGCTTCGTCGTTTATTTCTGATTAGTTCCGACCAAGGACTGAGACCAAAAAGGGTGACATTATTAATTTAAACTTCAACTGGTATGACAATACTTTGCACATAATACAGATTATTTATAAACTCCTAATCAAACACTTGAACAACAGTAGTTGTAAACTTGGCATGGTACATTCACTCAGTTCAGTATGCCTTGATGATTAATTTATGCAACTGCCTCATAGCCCTCCAACGATAAAACATGGATGCTTACCCTAGTCCATTAGCATAGCCAGTAACACCAGACAGCAGACAGATGAAAGAAGCCATTCCTTGCTATACCAAGAGCTGATAGAAGAGGAATGAGGCAGATATATATGATTTCCTTTTACCTGCTCAACCCGATGATCTTAAGAGATAGATGCCTTTAGATCAGTTATTACGTTAAAATTTGAATCTGATGAGTGGAGCAGGAGCAGGTGTGGCATATGTATTTAAGCTCCTAGTCCTATATGCTAAGATACAGCATAGGTCCCCCAATCCCTGTGTTCATTCTCCCATATGAAACTTAAAGCGCATACATCCGCTTATACTCGCTGTTCAAAACTTCATGTTCTGATGCCATAGACATAGAGAATGAACGAGACTTACTCTCAGCTCTCCGAATGTTCCTCATTTTGCACTCTTCCATTCTATGTAAAATGACACAATAGCACATGGAGCCAATGGTAGTAAGCATGATTGTGCTGCCTATAACTGTTGCGTACACAGCAAGCCACCTTGAGTGCGTGCCCACCACCACATACGTCAGAGAAATAAAAGCGATCGAAATGAAGAGGCAAGCTAGCCACATGAGCTTGTTGATCACAAATACAAGCTGCTTTTTTGCCTTCTGCTCAATCACAACCACAGATGTCTGGACTACAACAACAGCCAGGGAGATGAAGAGTGCCAGGCTGTCAAACACAAAAAAGATGATGAAAGCAGCATTATTTGCTATGTGTGCTTGTCCAAGCGTAAGCCCTGGTGTTTCGTCCTCAACATACTGGCCAGGAATAGTGAAGATGGCTGCAAAAGCAACAGTGGCAATCAGAACGGCAACAACTGTGGCAGAGTTTATAGCATTGTTGAGGCCACTAATGTGGAGCTTTTTCAACTTTTTTGCAATATTCTGGACTCTGGCACCAGTTTGGCGGGTCTGTTGAAGTTGGGACTGGACATCGTGCTTTATGTCACTCACGGTCTGCTTCAGCTGCTTGGCTGGATTTGCAGGTTTTCCTTGGTCTTTAGAATTGGTGGCCCCTGCTTCCTTTAACACAGCCACAAGTTCTGGACTCCCATATTTTTCTGCAATGTCAAGTGGGCTCTCTCCAGCCTTGTTGCTTGCATTGATGTTACTACCCTCTTTATTAATGGACAACAGAAGGCGTACATTCTGCACATAAAGTACATGAGCATTGAGCAAACATAATAAAATTATGTCACAAGCTAGCCAGCAAATTTTGAGATTGGTTTGTTTCAATTGAAAGTTGAAGTCACACACCAAAAACTACAGGTGTTTCCATTACTACATATGAGTATCATACACCAATTAAGCACCAACTATGAAATTACCAAACCATTCTTCAGATTGGAGTCGTAGCGTACATTTTGAGTTAAAACTACCAGCAATGAACATAATGCTTAACATGATCACAAAACTAAACAATTGGGAAGCTAGATTTCAGATCTAGTTTAGAAATTTGGATTTAATATTGATGGACACTTGAATCATTGATATAACATGTAGCACATTTCATCAAATTACTATATAAATTGAAAGAAAAGAAAGGAGAAAGAACCTGAATATGGCCCTTCCTTGTGGCAGTATGCAATGCGTTGTTTCCCTTGTTATCTTCCACAGTCAAAACTGAGGGGTCAGGTTTCAGCAACTCCAGCACAATCTCCTCATTGTGCCCTTTTACAGCCATGTGCAACGCAGTTTGACCTTTCAGGTCAGTTCTAAAAGCAGCGCTTGGATCCTTTCTTAGTAGGGACTTGACTACTTCCAAGTGCCCCATCCTTGCTGCTGAATGAAGCACAGTCTTACCATTATTGCGGGCAATCTTGGCGAGATTTGAGTCAGTTTCCAAAAGGAGATTTACAATATCAATATGCCCCTGAGTAGCAGCCGTGTGTAAGGCAGTTGAATTGGATAAATCTGTTGTCATAGCCAAGTTCGGGAACACGTGCAGAAGTTCTTTCAACACCTCTGAAGAAAGAAACAATTTTCACATCATTATGATGCATATTTCGAAGAAATATTATTTGATAGTTTCCTAATCATAATTAGGCTCTTATAGTTCACCAGATGATTAAGGTGACAATCAAAGTCAATATGCGTGTGTGTGTTGAGATTGAAGAAGACAGTCAACAAGCATTTCAAAATCAAGCTTCATGAAGATACATATTGCACATGCTTTTCTGTAACACAGAATTTTACCAAAATTGTGTTCCTTTTTTTTCATAGCATATGATACAAACATTACAGGACTGCTTCTATTAAAGTGTGTTGAATTTCAACAAATGAAATGGATATTCATACCACTATCTTACCAAGATGGCCCTGTCTTACAGCAATGTGGAATGGATCGTAGCCATTTCTGGCGGCAATTGATGCAGTTTGAAGGTCCATATGCCTCAACATTTCCCCAACAACCAAAGCATGCCCATTCTCCGCTGAGGCATAGAGGGGGGTCTCTCCCTCCTGGTTTGTCTTTGACAATAAACCAATTGACTCATTGCTGTTACAGTTCTGAAGAATTTCTCTGACTCTAACTAAATTCCCTGCTCGAGCCGCCAAATGGAGTTGAGAGTCACCTCTTTTACCCGGTGACTCCTTGCTCCTCCTCCGTTCACCACCAATAAAGCTCAGCTGCTTCTCCATAACCATCCGAAAACTCTTCTGCTTCTCCATAAACCCACGAAAACTCTTCTGTTTCTCCATCACCCCTCGAGAACTTGACTGCTGCTCGATTGCCCCACTGAAACTAGGTAGTTTTTCCATCCTTGCAGACTGAAAACTGCTCTGCCTCTCCATCACCAATTTCACGGAAACGAGTTGATCTCAAACAAAACCCAACTTCCTAGTCTTTGGAATCCTGATTCTCCAATCTCAAATTCTACTTTTCCACGATCATCACCCAATAAACATTCAAGCCAAATTCATTTCCTCACAGAAACAGTAAGAACCCCAGTTGTGCAGATATATAGATATGTCAAGAAATATGTTTTTCAATCTCTACTTAACCACTGGGATTCCAATTTTCTGATTCAAAATCTGTTTCTTATCCAAACTGAAATTCACCTATTTGAAATATCAAAACCCGTTGAATAATCAAAATAACAGAATCCAGAAAGCAATCAAAATCCAACAGATGAGAAGAAGCAAAAGTTGAATACCAATTACAAAGTAAGTACCTTGATTGTGAGCTTTGTACCTTACTCTAATGCTCTGAATCTGGAAGGCTAGAAACTTCAGATACCATGCGGCCGAGGCTGAAACCCAAAACAAAAGCTGAGATTTTGGTAAATGATGGGGCCTCACCATCACCTTATCAGTGAGTAACACAAGAGACCCCACCCCACCAATAAACTTGTATTCGACTCAACTCAATACAAAACTAGATGAAAACCAAGATCGTATGAGGAGACACACAGCGAGAACAAACAAACCGCTGCTGACAACACCATCTATAATTCTATATAGATACTCGGGAGTTGGGGGAGGAGAGACGCATGATGTTTTCTACCCCTTTTTAAGTAAGATAATATTTACCTGCCTGCCTCAAAAAACACAAAGTTAGATACTTTATCTGTCATACTGTTTATAGAGAGCTGTTTTTCACCATCCTTGTATGATGATTAATCGTGATCATGTTTTTCTTTTATTATATTATTACTTTAAATTATCTAGAAGAAATAATAAAAATTTAAATCAGGAACGAGTTAATAAAATACTAAGACCAGCCTTTTAGGGTGAGTTGTAATTCTCTGCTTGGCTTCATTGATGCATTAGCAAAGACTATCCGTCCATAATAATTGTCATATATCAAATGATCAGTCTTATATGAAGTTGTTTATGAATAACAGAACAAGAGGAGATACCAACAAACAAATATTAATTGAAAATAAAATTTGCAGAAGATGTATGGCCCCTGTGGACTGGAGACTGGGCAGTGGGCAGTCACTGTCACCCGTGGGCCCCCGCTGAAATATATATATATATATATATATATATATATATATATATATATATATGCATGAGTAATGGTAATGAGACTATTTCAAAATAAAATTTACAAACTAAATAATATGTTATTAATATAAATGAATATATTTATCAACGTTTAATTAATAAATTAATCATCAATTTACATATCCTTTAATTTTCAAAATTTTGTTTACAAATTTAATTTCTCTGGCATTACCTATATATATATATATATATATAGGTAAAATGAACTTTCTTGGACTACATAATATAACTATCAACCTAGCTATTTATATATCCATAGCCCATAGGAGGTTAGGAACAATCACCTCCCAACTGAACCCCTCCATACGTTGATATGCATAGGCACACCACTTGCCTTTGGTTGGGCACTTGATGTATATAAAAGGTCAATGACGTAGGTGAAACCTAGGCAAATAGAACAACAAACTTAATTATAAAAAACTGAAATTGGAGAGCAGCCATGTTTCATTGTTGTACACTGAAACTGATACTGACTCAATTAAGTCTTCTAAATTTTAACTGTAGATTTCTATATATATATATATATATATGAAATTAACGTTGAATTAACCTAATGAAAAACATTACACCTTTAATTGTTTGTACTTTATAATTAATTCACATGCGTTTCATTTTATATGTGTATTTATCATTTACCACTAAGTTTCAAAAATGTATGTGTGTGTATAAAGTTGACATGTACCTAATGTTTGTTGAAGGAAAATGACATAGCCATTGGCATATATATATTATTGTTATTAGAGATGCATGAATTGGGCATGCATCCTTTTTGACTGAGAATCAAGATTCGAGACTGCGGCATGCATTGCAGTTGTCTATTTCTTTCTTTCAAATCAAACGGACGTACTTACATTTGTGTGTGAGACGTGATGATATTGATACCATCGTACCAGGACAGACTACGGAGTGAATTAGTCAAATTAGTAACGTGTGTGCAAAATGTAATTAAGAAGCAGCAGCAACAGATCATCACCACCATTAAATTTCAATCTGATGACTACTGCTGATCTCTCTTCTTCTTCTAATTAAATTGCAGTTGACCAATAATAAATCCATATTTATTTTAAGTTGAAAATTAGTTGACTACTGATGATCGATCCATGTATTTGCATGTGTTAATTAATTAATGCTGTGTTGACCGGCGATATATATATATATATATATATATATATATATATATATATTCCACTTTCAATATATAGGATTGATTTACTGCAAGCAACACTCAACCATGGAAGCTCTACAGTAACTGCGTATCCATGTGGTGTGGTGTGCACATCCATCACCATTGATCAGTGATAATTATTCTTGATACGATCATACAACTCGATCGATATATGTAAAATCACACAAGACAAGCGCAAATTAAAGTTACAAATAATTCCCTTAATAATAGGATTATCTATATGCAAGGATCTGGCATAAGCAGTCCAGTGCTGGTTCCCCTAATGTTTTTGCACGATGACGTGGCAACCTTATTCAGATACGTAAGCTTGATATCTTGCAATCTGATCCCAGTACATGGAGTGCTAGGGCTGCAGTCGAACGTTACTGCCTCTGCCGTTCGCGACGTCCCTTGTATGTTTCTGTACGTCACTTGACTGATCGTCACACCTGAACTCTATCAAACGAACAAAAAAAAAAACTAATAATTGATAAGTAATTAAGGGAATATATATATATATATATACACTATAATATAGGATGTTAGTATTACCTTAGAAGGACAGCCTTGGTTATGGGGGCAATAGCTCTGGTCAATGATGATGGGGTTTTTCACGTTTCTCATGACGATGTTTTGGAAGATTATGTTCCTAACGAAGCCAGTGCTGGGCCTGGCCCATGACTTTATTCGTACTCCATTGTCTGATCCACTGAACACTGCATTCGTTAGGGTTACATTTTGGACACCATCTTCCTTGAGATTCCTGCCTAGGCTTCCAATGCTGCATTATATACAGAGATCAGATCACATTCAGATATCATGAGCGGCACTACTTTAATTCGTAATTAGGCTATTTTTGAATCAATGTTTAATTAGGCTGGTTATTAAGTTAATCTTTTCTACATACGTGCCTAATTATACCCATCCCAAGTTTGTGTTACTTAATAAACCCAACTTGTAAACAAATAAATAAGACTGCTCGACTGTACCTTACACCATGGCCTGGACCACACTTGATGTTGCATATGGAGGTTTCTGGTGCCGGGACCGATTGCTATGCAATCGTCACCGGTTTGCAAGATGCTGCCGGTTATGGTGACACCGGTAGAGCTCTGCACATGAATACCATCTGTGTTGGGGCTTTCGCTCGGAGCGATCAGCTTCACGTTTCGAACGACCACATTGTTGCAGCTGTTGACTACAAGGTGGGTTGCCTGACTGTTGATCGATGTTAAGCCATTTACCAGAACGCTGTTTGCCCAGTTGAACGTTATAGACTGCACATGTATACATATATTATTATAATTATTTATACATATTATATTAATATAGTGAGTAATTATTAAATCCGCATATATATGCGTACGTACCCTAGCTCCAACAGGACAACTCTTGCCGGATTTCCTGCAAGCCCAAAATGCAGCCCCCCTGGCGTCGAGGGAACCACCGAGGACCCTAAGTCCGGTAACCTTAATGAATAAAATCCAGTAGCCTGAGTTTCCCAAAGCCCTATAGTCTGTGGGGGCTACAAGGGTTCCGTCTATTTGAACTGTAACTTGTCCGGTCTTGCATGGACCTCTAAACACCACAGCCTTCAACAAGAACCTTCCTTTGGGGATGTACATGACAGCATTGCCCTGGCCGGAGCTGCACGCCGACGCCCATGCCTTGACGAATGCTTGCGTCGAGTCCGTCGTCCCATCTGCTCGTGCACCAAACTTCATCACATTGTAGCTAACTGCCGCTGCGTTGGATGACTGCGACAACGACATGCTCGAGAAAAACAGCAGTACAGCTGCTACACAATAATTATGAATATTGCCGCAGAAGCTTGATGTATAAGCCATTTTTGTGATGATACTTCAGATGTAGGGTTGGATAGAATATAAGATTTCGATGAAAGTAATTGGTGTAAATGACTGGATTGGATTTGGATGCTGAAAAAGAAACAATACTTTGGAGGTATTTATAGTTGCTTATTGACACGTACTGCTAGTACATATGAGCGGAGCAGCGTAGGTAATTATAAAAAGGTGGAGTAACAAAATTCAAAAAGTAGTATTGTATTTGCTCGTCGCGGATCGATTGTTGAATTTTAGGGTTTAGGGTTAGATAGATACATGTGTTACGTAGTGATATGTACGGAGACATGAGACTATATGCATGTGATAGCTTGCGCTTAATATACACGAGATGAGAGACAGGGAGAGACAGAGATTATTTGGCGGCGGGCAAATGGCATTATTGGCATGCATGTAATGATATAGAGGTCCAGATTGTGCCCAAGGATTTGGCAAGGAGCGCGCTTGCGTACGTAAGAAATGAGATATATACATACATACATACATATATATATAACATATATCCATGGTTTTCTATATATCGGTTTTGTATAACCTGAGTTCATACATACATACATACATACATACATACATACATACATACATACATATATATATATATAACATATATCCATGGTTTTATATATATCGGTTTTGCATAACCTGAGTTCATATATCAATCTATGGGTTTTGCCACGTGACACGTGAAGGAAACCCGGAGCAGTGGCTGGCGTGGCTGGCGTAGAAGTCGCCGATCAAATAGCCTTAAACACAGGTCAATATCCTTCATTCCCCTTCTACTAAAATCATTGAGTGATTGAATTGACAACTTCATTCCCTGTATCCGCTTTTCTTAATAATTAATCAGCGGTCGAGGACATACTTTTCTCTTCTCTATCACATTACTTAATCATTGGCGGCCAAACACATATGACATGCATGGGCGGCCCTTGCTCATCACATACGTAACCACTAGTGATTAAATTGTAAATTATACATGTTTATCATCGTCATCATTCTTCTTTTGCACCACATAAGGTTCATGTTTCTTAATCACATACATTGTTTTCTTGTCAACTTCTTTGGAAAGTACATAGTTGCATTGCTTCAATACTTCTATATGCGTTTTGTTTAAGTGAATCCACTTATTCGAAGTTTACTGTACTGCTCATTACATATATATACTTTAGATAGTGTTGTGAATATTGCGTTTACGAATAAGAAAAAACAAACAAAACTCAGAAATAAAAAACAAATAACCAAGACAAATAACATCAATAATTAACATGGTTCGGCAATATGTGCCTACGTTCACAGAGTACAATAGATTATCTTGCCAAGCCTCTAGGATTAAGACTTGAAGAAAACCCAAAAGAACAATAACAAGAGATACACTATTTATCTCTTTTATTTTCTCTGACACACACTTTGCCCTTCTGTCACTCTGACTCCTTAAGTGGTATACAACTTATTGTTTTGCTCCAATTCAAAACTAGTACAATATTCCTTCTA